TGTGCGTTTGATAGGTTCTGAAAGATTTTGTATTTTGTGTTAGATTTCCTTGAGGTAAACAAATATCAATTTGTCTTGTCGAGTATAAAATAGGTTTCACAACCATGTTAAAAGATGTAAGAATACTTTATATATTAGACTTTTATTTTATCCTTGAACGTTGTAAGTAAGGTTAAACTACTTGACTAACATTACAACAGCTTATACCAATTCATAATTTAGGCAAAGTCTTTTTACTAGCCTATCAAATACTATTTACCAAGCTACTGTACCTCTGGCTTTATTGAACACATGATATATGACTGCATGGCTGTGAGTCTCTGGAGAAGAAAAGGTCATGTTGACTATAAATCTCCTGCTTCAGTAAAATAAGATGACTTCCTACAATTGTTGTTTAGTCTTTAATATATTTCTGTCTCTCTCTCTCTTTGTCTTAGCAAGTCATAAATGGTGATTCACAGCTCCAGCACTGACTGAGCTGCTGATTTTAATTTGCTGTTTTCGGAGTAATAAACATTGACATGAGAAGGAGCCTCAGGCAGAGACTTCTAATGAGAAAATGAAATTAGTTTTTCAGCTGACTGATCAGAAGCATTTCATACATTATAATCAAGCATTTATTTGATGTGATTTGTTATGTGTGTGCGTGTCACATGTGTGTACAGGAGTTTGTATGTGTGTGTGCGTACATGTAAATACATTATTCATGCTCATGTTTGTGTTTATTGCTGCTTGTTATTGATGCACCAAGAGGCAGCTTATGCCATTTTCCAACCTTTTGTACCAGACCTGTCTTGCTGCCTTTGTGTTTGTAATAATATGCCTCATCCTTCTGTATCTGTCACTGTCAGTAAACTGCACTGGTCAAATAATTACACCCCGTTCTCCTGTTACAGAAAACTAGTATGGAGGTTAACAAAACGACAACGAAATGATGGACATAACTCTGACACTTTATATCAAACAAGTTAGATGAACTGGGATTACTGTAATCTCTCTGCATGCTGTGCAATTACATAAAGGTTTTTTTTTT